TAATTGATATGATATAATTCAACTAAAAAAAATCATTTGATCCATGAAATTGATGCTAAAAGCATTAAATTGTTAATTAATTCTGTAATAAACTTTGAATTAACACTAATTGATCTTTTTATTTTTTGAAGTTAAAAAATTCTCTTGAATTCTAAATGTTGCATAAAAGAAATGCTCGATCAAAATTAAATATTTAAATATATATCATTTATTATCATTTTCATATTATTCTACAACTTTATTATTCCTAATTTTTAGACGATATCGATTAGAAGCTGAATTAGCTGCAATGTCATGGAAAATTCGTTGGGAGGATTTGGATGGTGACGAAATGAAGAAGGATAAGAAGAAAAGTAGACGAATGCGACGATTGCACGGTTTTAGTTTTGAATCGGAAGCATTACTTCGATCGTATAGTCGAGCATCAAATGGCAGCGAAAATGTTCGAATTTTTGCACCTCTTTTAAATTTCCATAATTTTAATCAAATGTTCGTGAAATTTTTGGCTTGACTTTAAATTTTTTTAACCTGGAATTTTCAGAATTCTTGATTTCTGCAGACTGCTAGTAAAAAATCCATTGTTTTGAATGATATCTTGGTGTTAAAAGTATATCACCAAGTAAGGTCATCGGTATAATAGTAAAAAATGTAAAAGGTTAAGAAGTTCAATAACATAAAATTTATAAATTTTTGATTTTCAACGAAGCAATAGATTGGAGTAAAAATAATAATTTGTAGTAAAAAATTTCAATTTTGATACTTTGGTAAATGGTGCATATTCAAATTAATTCCTATTAATTTCTGAACGACCACATATAATTTATATCAAAAATTATTATACTACAATACGCCCTAATGATTGCCATGTACTGTAACAATGAAGTTTATATTTTTCTTCTGAATATTCGATGCTGAAATTCCAGTGTAGATTTAAAATTTTTTTTAATTTAACGTTTAGGTTAGCGTTACACAAGTTAACTGGGAATTTACAAAATTTATTTTTTTTATAAAGCTCTACTATAATGAGTGAAATATCAGGCGATGCTGTTTTAATTTATTATATCTTAAATTTATTGAAAATGCTTAATTGCAGAGCGGAAACTTAATTATGATTTCAATTCTTAAAAAAAAAAATTTGGTATGTATAAAACTGTAGCATTACCACAAATATTAGCGGCGATGCTAAATGTGATTGTGATACAGTTGAATTATTTATTACCTACAATAAATGATTCCAATTATAATATTTTCCCTGATGACTAGTTGTAAAAAAAAGTTCGAGATAAAGTTAGATAGTGAAGAAAGAGATAAAATGTTAATTTAAATTAGCTAAATTTAAAATGCAAATTTTATTTAGATGCTACATTTTTCTGAAAATTTAAATCATCAAAAATTTCCATCAAATACAATTTCAAATTTCCATCAAATATTCTTGCAGTTGGATGAGGATGAACGGGAATTCAGTATTGGTCGCTTTAGACTGGTATGTGAACTATCCATTAAATACGATACTTTTTTCTTACTCAGCTTATTAGTTTTCGTCTATGCTTTTCAAAATAAGAGCTAGTTTGATAATAGCACTAGCAATTGATATGATAATAGGATTAGAGAAATTGAAGCGCTTTTCATCATTCTCCGATTATTTTTGTTCTCGAATTCTGCTATAATTTTTATCTTTTGACTTTTTTCTCAAATAAATATATTATTCAAATGTAAGAAAAGAAACTTTGATTGGTTAACTTTAAAAATTCAACCGAAAAAATTTCATATAATAGCAGAAAATTTTTTGTCACCATTATTAGCTCAATTCAAGTGTTAATTTCTTTTTGGATTGAAGATTTTGATTTTGAAATTATGGAAATCCGTATGGAATTAGATGGAAATTTTTTAAATTGACGTTATGCATGGCTTTAATTAAAATTTCATGCATTTTTAAATTATACCAATAAAAACTATAATTGTATTTTTTTTTACTAATTTAAGTTCAGCAATGGTAATGGCACAAAGAAAACAAATGATTAAAGGTATAATCGAATAAATAACGCTACTTTTACTAATTTAACTGCTAAAATTTTGATTGCATCTTTTGAATTTTGTTTGTGAACTCACTGCATATAAAGGATGATATAGCAACATTGCATTTTGATATCAATTAGATTACTTTGATGAATTTTATTTTGTTGCACTCTTTCTTTTTTTTAAAAGTTGGCTGAGATGGAATAATTGCTTTTTTTGACATAATTGTTATCTGCTGAATTTTTCATTCAAACATACAAATTTTATTGTATTCCTTCCAATTTTAACTATAAAAACATTTAAAGATGCATTAGCATTTATACTTCGAGATGCATTAGCAGTTATAGAAGTCTTTCATTTCTGTTGAAATTTACTTAGAACACAAGAAAAATAAACGATGCACATCAGTTCTATTTATATTTTATTTTACTGTAGTCGGGAAAAATTCAAAGACATATTAGCAAATATAATAAGTGACATTTTTGCTAAAATATTTTAATTTTTTTATTTTATTTTGAAAAATACATTGCATTCAATATTTTCCTCCAAAAAATTTAAAGAATTATTGTGAAAGTATTAACATTCATTATTGATATTTATTTACACGATAAATATGTTAGTAACAAAAAAAAAGATCAACATTTGATGATTAATTTTAGGAACTGTCACTAATATCAAGTAATAAAGCAGCAGGGGTTAGTTTTCCATTAGTTAGGCCTATGAAGTCCACGTCACATTTGAAAATGTAAATTTATATTAATGGTGGCAAAATGATTGTGCTCGAATGTTTTTAAGCACTTTTTAAATTTAATCTGCATATTGTATGCATATTTCATTTGTACATATTTTTCTTTAACATCACTAAATTATCTTATCTTCTTATCTTCTTATTCTAACTTCGAGACCAATGGACTATTTTAGTTTAATTGAATTTTTTTTTTTGAATCTCAATTTTATAACATGATATATATTATACGGAATGATGATTTAAAAATTAATTTTGCTCTCAAGAAGATTTCATATTTATCTTTTAGTTGCTATCAAAATCTTATCTCATATTAGCCATATATTGTCAGGGATTGTAACATGAATTTAATGTAGCCATCAGTTGATTCATTCCTTTCTTAAATAATCTATTTAATAGCTAAAATTGATGCTAGCTTGCTTACATCACTTTCATATTACTAATAGCCGGTAGATGCTAATGTTAATGAATCGTTTCAATCAATTAACAAACAAATTTAGCAGACATGCATGTATTAACAATTAACAAAAGTAATAGTAATATAGATTATGAAGTTGAGAAAATTCTCAAGCATATTTTTTGCTTATCTTTATCATTCTCTAATCAATCAATAACATTATTAATTTTATGCTATAATTCAAAATTAAGAATTTGAAATTTGTGTAAAAATTGAGAAAATGTAAATTATCATTATAGCATAATCGACATAAATCATTCATTTGCACATAAAATTTTCAGATTTATAAATTTTTTTAATTTTATAGCGAAGTACCAGTTCCAATGCAACTCGTAAATTTTCGGCTTTAATTGATCGAAAGCTAAGCTTATTTACACGAAAGAAAAATTCAACTCAACAAAATTCCACACATATGGTTCAAAATCATATTAGCAAGGTATGAGTATTTTTTTATTCACTTTTTTTTGAATTTTACCGAAATTATAGGAGGAATTCCTGAGAATCGAATTCATTCACACAATTTCATTTAAATTATCCAAATTATCCATTGAATGCTCGAATATAATCTTAGAGATATAAAAAAGAATTTTAAAATTTTTAAAATTATTTCTTTTAAATTTTAAATAAAAAGGATTTTATGATGTATTTTTTAAAATCTTAAAAAACAAAAAAAAGGATGTTTATTAAATAAAAAGGATTTCGCAATTTAAAAGAATATTATAAAAAATATATTTGTTGCATTGTTAGGATTTTGAACATAAAATGGATACGCTTTCACGTTCCGGACCGTATTTGACAATTAGCGAAGGTGTGGAAACTGCGGATTACGATACGGAAAGTGGCCGGATACCATCATTACTCTCTTCCGTTTCCAATCCGAAACAAAAATCACCCAATGAAGATGATTTCGATTTACACGCTAAGAAAAGTCTTTCGTTACGTAATCGGAAATTATCATTTGCTGGATTTAGCACTGCGGTAGTTTTTTTTTTTTTTTTTAAATTTAATAAATAAAATAAACTGGGATAGTTTTTTTTATTCTAATAAAGACTGTAATTGTTGTTATTTTCGAATAAACTTCAAATTTATCTTCGCTTTCTTTTCCATGAAATTTTTTTTATTTGAGAAATATGAAGTGAAACACTTTTTTTATTCTTTTTTTTAGAGTGGAGGTTCAGTGGAAACAATACAAATGCAAAATAATGCACAAATATATACGAAAACTGCTAATTATAAGGTCAGTTTGATCATTTTATTACAATATATTCAAGATTTTGGTTTTTAAATAAATTTTTTCGAAAATTTGTGATTTCGTGGTTTTTTTTTAATTTTTTAAAAAATATTCAAATATATCTCAAATTTCTGGAGTATGTCAGAAAAATTCCTCAAATTTCTACTGCACAATTGAGAATATATTTTTAAATCTTTAATTTTGTTTTATTTTTAGGGTACAATAGTTGCAGTTAAGAATTTGAATATCGATCCAAAGAAGTATCCAAAGCTAGATTTGACTCGTTCTATGTTGATGGAATTTAAGCGAATTAAAGATCTACAACATGATCATATTACCAGGTGCATTTCCTATGCAGTAAATTTAATTTGAAATCACACTCTTTGATGCTACATTTGATTAAATTTAAATTATTTTTCTGTTTTGTAAGACGAAATCATTCCTTCATTTATGATAATTGATCATTATATTACTGTGAGCATTTAAAAAAAAAAAAAACTTTTGTTTGATTTTTGAAAACTTTTCAGATTTACCGGAGCCTGTGTTGACTGTCCGCATTATTGTCTGGTACAAGAGTACTGTCCTAAAGGATCACTGGAAGATATTTTAGAAAATGAAAAAATTGAACTGGACAAAATGATGAAGTATTCATTGTTGCATGATTTAGTTAAGGTTAGACTTTTTTTTTACTTACATGCTTGAAAAAAAAAAACGTTTTTGATTAGTTTATTCAATGATAACGGAATGATACAAGACTGATAAGTTATTAAAAAAATTGCTATAAGCAATAAATACATGCTAATTAAATCGCATTATACTTGTAATGGATACATTGCAATTCAATTGAAATTGATAGTTTGATTTACAATTTTAATATTTGTAAAGTAAGCAAAGAATTATTTAAAGGGTATGTATTTTCTTCACAATACATTTGTTGGTTCACATGGTAAATTGAAATCATCGAATTGTGTTGTGGATAGTAGATTTGTACTCAAAGTTACCGATTTCGGTTTTCATGAATTGCATGCTATGGAGGATGAAAGTACCGAAGAAATTGGCGAGCATGCATTTTACAAAAGTAAATTTTTTTTTCACTTTTTAACCTTGAAATACACATTTTAATTGAATGCTTATCATGTTTAATATTGTTTTAAAGCGTATATATTTACTTTTTTTAGGGAAATTATGGACAGCACCAGAAATATTACGTAATCCAAATGCATATCGACCGAATGGTACAAAAGCGGGTGATTCATATAGTTTTGCCATAATATTGCATGAAATGTTATTTCGAAAAGGTGCCTTCTATATGGCTGATGAACCTTCACCTAAAGGTATGTTTGACATGTAAATATCAATATTGAAATTTTTATTAAACTATGTAATACGAGAAATTCAAATCAGGAAATCAGTTAACATTTGTATTTAAAATATTATGTATCTTTTATTGTTTCAAAATTAATAATAATAAATGATCTTTTGCTACAAAAATTATATCAAAAAAAAACATGAATTAAAATCAGATTATGTTATAGAAATTTGTGAACGTGTCCGAAGAGTGCCAGCAATTTATGAGGAATTGTGTAGGCCGGAAATACCTGAAAGTGCCTTAATCGATGGTCAAATTGAACCGAATCTGATCAATTTGATGATCAGTTGCTGGGCTGAAGAATTTCAAGAACGTCCTGATTTTTCTGTTATTCGCAAAGTGGTTCGCTCATTGAATAAGTTCGTCATTTTCTTCTAATTTTCATTTAAAATAACAATTCGAGATCGATGATGGTCATTGTAAATTTGTCAAAAAGGGTATCATATCTTACAATTATACATTCACTGCTTGAATGATTTCTAATTACAGTAAAATTAAACAATTGCTGCTGTATAAAATTAAAGGTTTAATTTTTGAAATTTTTTGATTATTACATGTTAAACCCATAATTGAAGTTTTTCTTTTTACTTTAGAAGTAATGAGACATCTAATGTAGTGGATAATTTGCTAAAACGTATGGAACAATATGCGAATAATCTGGAAGGTTTGGTAGAAGAACGAACACAAGAATATCTTGCCGAGAAGCAAAAAGTTGAAGATCTCTTACATCAACTATTGCCACGTAGTGTTGCTGATCAGGTAAGCGATTTATTTCATGAATTTTTGTTAAAGATTAATTGCTTAAATCATTGATATTATCGTGTAGTTATCATTTTTATATTTTGACATACTGATAATTCAAAAATTAGTAAAATATTAAAATATAAAAAACGGAATCATTCATAGAAACAAATATATGTATTTTTTCAACTAATTTTGTTTACTAAATTTGCAGTTGATAAGTGGACGCGCTGTACAAGCGGAAGCATTCGAAAGTGTTACTATCTATTTTTCCGATATTGTTGGCTTTACAGCACTGTCATCAATGTCAACACCGATGCAGGTAAAGGAGTTAACTCTTGAATGACATATTTTTAATGCAGAATTTGCTGTAAGCTATATACTTTGAATAATAGAAATAGCCTTTGTATATATTATTTCGTGATCGTTATGGTAATATTGATTTGAGTTATATTGAAATTAGGTTTGAATATATTAGCAAGTTGTGAAATAAAAGTAATTCTTTGTTGTTAATATAAATTTGATAAATTACATTGAAAGAGATGAATTGCGAAATAATCGTAATTCTGCATAATTCTAATAATTTTAATTAGGATTAGTTAGGCAATATTTCTTACAGAACAAAATTATTTTCCGTGTACTATTTCCGCAAATTTCATGTTAAATTTATTTATTTAAGGTAGTAACTTTATTGAACGATTTATATATGGCATTCGATGGTGTTGTGGATAATTTTAAAGTATATAAAGTGGAGACGATTGGAGATGCATATATGGTAGTATCTGGTCTACCTGAACGACACAATCATCATGCTTCACAAATTGCTCAAATGTCATTAGCACTGTTGCATAAGGTCAAAAATTTCGTGATCAGGCATCGACCTAACGAGCAACTGAGACTACGTATTGGAATTCATTCTGGTTTGTTTCCAGACTTTTCATTTTTGAAACTCTGAAATTGCAGATAATTAAATGAATAAATGTGTTGATGAAGAAATGGCATCGAATTGTCAGCGCTAAAACTGGATGAAGCATTATTGAGAGATCTAATTTAAAGGGAAAACATCGAGGCTAGCTGATCAATTAAGATCACTTAACTAATTAATGTTCCGGTTTAATAGTTAGGCGTATCTCATAGGCCTTTTTCAGGAAAATTTATATATGGCTTTGTTCATCTGATAATTGTTCAAGTTTTTGAGGGTTTTAAATTCTTGAATTCTAACTTTGCAGTTTTTCGTCATAAAGAGACAAAAAAATAAAATCCTTCGCAGTGACTGTCTACATAAAGAAGGTCTTTCATGCCTTTTTTTAAGGACCAGTAGTTGCTGGAGTGGTAGGCTGTAAAATGCCACGGTACTGTTTATTTGGTGATACAGTAAATACGAGTAGTCGAATGGAAAGCACTGGCCTGCGTAAGTTTTTTTTCTTTTTTTGTTTTTACTTTTGGACCCATAATCACAAGATTTAGACCTAAAAATTATCGTGATACACTACAATTCAAACGTTTTTCAAAATTATGTCTACATGAATTTCTTTCGTAATTTAAATATATTTAAGAGAAGTTCTCATTTGCTTCTAAATTTTCAAATCAATATTTTCTTACATTTATGCTTGTTGGATAAAAAGAAAGAAAAAATGTTTGTAGCACTTCGAATTCACGTGAGTAGTCAGACAAAAGCTATCTTGGACAAGGAGGATCCGGGATTTAATTTGGTGCTTCGCGGTGAGGTGGAAATGAAGGGTAAAGGAAAGCAGATAACTTATTGGCTTAAAGGCTACAATGACATACGTATTCCTGATTTTGGACCGGAATTTCAATAGTTTTTATTTATTTGTTTTTCATTAAGAAGTTGTAATTTTGTTTTTCTTCAAATCAATCAATTTCAAACTTTAATATTTAATTTTATGCAATGTTAATATTGCCATTAATTTGTTTTTTTTCTTGAATTTTGAAATCAAATAATTTTACTTACTTGACTCATTCAAGCATTGGTGATTTCTCCGCTAAATATGCGTGTTTATGGGTGCAGTTCTAAAAGTTATGTGCTATTTCAATGTTAAAACGTAAAAATTAGATCCGATACTTTAAATTCATTCTTGACAACAGATAACTACAATCTTTAATAATGTCAAAATTTTCAAATAACTAATGGATCGATACCTCTGCTCTATAATTTATTGTTTCTTTTTAAATTAAATTACAGTTTGATTTTTGGGGCGTCATTTTCTTTTAATTTTCGATGAAACAGTCTGTTTTGTCTACTTTGGAGGGAGGTAAATTCAAATTTTTGAATAAAATCTTTAATTTATATGGAAATTGAAAATTTAAAGTAATATTTAACATATAATACATAAAATTCTTTTAATGCGTACATTTTATAATAATTTTTTTAAGTGGTGCGCCTCATAATACGGGTTCAGTTGCTTTCTTTCTTTTCCTAATTTCGCTTTTTCATGTATCGATTTAAAACTTGAACTTCACTTTATTATTTTTGTGAAACATTCAGAGACGAAGTAATCATTTTATCGAATTCAATATGTTTGCTTATATTATTGGTTTGCTTTACGATGGTTAATTTTCGTGAGCATAAACTAAACTTTATCAGATTTAAATTTCTCAAGAAAATTGAATTTTGAAAATTATTGAAATATTAATGAATTTTTTCGCTTGGTTAAATAGTGCCAGTGATAATACAACTCGTTCTACAATTAATCAGAATTTTGAGAATCGAATTTATCATTTATCACACTCATTGTTCAGTTATTCATCATTTCTAGTTCAATTTTAATAATTCATAATAAGCAAGACCACCGATGTATCACTCAGACCGGTTGTAGACGGAATATTTCTTACTATTGTATATTGTATTGCACTGTAAAGTGCATTGTTTCTCTTTTTTAATAGATATGTAAATTCTTTGTTCAATGATTAATCATGAAAACATGAAATTTGGAAAAAATTTGAAATTTTAATTTTAATCAAATCTAGACCTGTTATTGTCAAATTCTGCCAATTGTCAAATTCTAACATTCAAAAACAACGATGAAATCTCAATAACAAAAATGTGATGTGTTCACGTTTTGACATTTCTCAGGCATTTAACATTTTTGTGCTTTATCAAATAATTGCAGAATGTTTTTCAAATATGCATATGAAAGAAAATAAATGATTGATTTAAGCTTTACAGAAATTGGCTTAAAAATGAAAAAAAAAAATTTTTTTTTTAGATAATTTGTTAAATTCATGTAATCCCATTTGATATGCTACAGCCTTTAATATATTATGAGTTATTTCTTTCAATATAACACAGATTAGTTTTATAATTAATCAATTACCTGCAAATATCTTACAGGTAGGATTTATCTTATATACCAGTAGCATACATTTGGTATTACTTT